TTACCATCCCGTGGGGTCTGCATTCAGTGGGGACAGCTGGGGCCCATAGGGAAAGGGCTTGAGGGGTTTTGGAGTTGGGGTAGTCCCCATCCAAGGGGCTGGAAGAGTCTCTAGCCAGGCACAAGCCCTTTCTAGATGGACACGTCTATAAAGGATCCAAATTTCCTTCTTGGGGTAGGTGGGGCAGTACTTTATCCCATGAGCTGTCTAGGTGTGTGGCTTTGGCTGGGCATCTCCGTAGCAGGATTAGATCTTGCTCTCAGGGAGAGGGTGAAGGGCTGCAGGGCCTAGCGAGCAGCTTTGGTCTCATTGCTGCAGTTCTGGTTATGGTTCGGGTAGCAGCGAAGGCCTAGCTGGTCCGGTAGGGATTCTGTTCTCTTCCTTCCTCAAGGATCTGACTGTTGTGAAAAACAGTTTGAGGGGTGTCCGATGCTGTTAATTGTTGCTAGGGCCGGTGAAGGAAGCTGCTTTGTATTTTTTATGAGCAGCCCTATGAACTTCCCCTCTGTATCTCTATCCCTTCCTGCAGGCTGCAGTGTACAGTAAAATGGAGCCCACAGCCTCCGGTGTGTTTTGCAGCAGGGTGCTAAGTATGGTGAACTCTGAAGACGTGAACGCCATCATTTTGGCTCAGAAGAATATGTGAGTCCCGTGGAATCTTATCAGCCGAAAAACCCTGCTGTTCTGTCCAATAAATATACAAATATCCTTCTAATTGTTAGTAATTTAGAGAAACTGGATGATTCGGTGGGGTTGGCATGGGCTACAAAACCCCCGGTCATTACTTCAAATCTGTCCTAGTGACTAACTGGCAGCTGTTCTGTTCAGTGCCTGTCAAAATGAGTTGCAAGGTCTTAGTTCAATTCCTAGTGGGCATGTGTCTGGGCTGCAGGAGAGAGGGTTACATTTGCCACTTGTAGGCTGCCCTGCTGAGAGGTCAAAGACGGAAAGAGCTGATCTTTCCAGGGCATGGGTGAGCCGCTTTGTGGTAATGCAAGCTTCCTCAATTGCTGGTGCTTTGTCAATTCTGGGAATAAACAGAGGCCTTTAGTCTGCAGTACTGTCAAGTCAGCACCATTCTTAGTGCTGAATTCATTTCCTTTTTTAAACAAATTTTAAATATTAAGAAAAGTCCATCTGGCACGTCTTAGCTGATCTTCATGTCTGTTCTCCCTTCTTGCTGCTTCTTCAAACTCCTCAATTCACTTGTTTTGAATTCTTCCCTCCACCCCCAAATTTCCTGACAACTTTTCTGTCAGGAGAAATAGTCCATTAGACTCTGATTGATTTCACTAGGGTTTTGCCCACGATGGAATTTTGCATGCAGAGTTTTCCAGGCAGGATTGGGGCTTTAATCGCTTGGAAAGCTTTTCAAGGTGGGGAAAAGACGGTTAGAATTTTCTTTCTTTCTTTTGTGGGGTTTGTGCATGTTTTGAGATCATTGTGAAGAATCTTACCTGGTGTGCTTTGTTTTTGGAAACTCGTGGACAAATTTCCCATGTCTCTTCCTCGCTCTAGGCTCGATAGATTTGAGAAAACCAACGAGATGCTGCTCAACTTCAATAATCTATCCAACGTACGCATGCAGCAGATGAATGAGAGGTTCCTGCATCACACTAGGACGCTGGTGGAAATGAAGAAAGATCTAGATAGTATATTCCGAAGAATCAGGTGGGTTCTGGATTCAGGGTCTGGGATGCTGCATGTCTCTACAGTGCCTCCTGCTGGATGATAGAGGAAGGGCCTTGAGAGGATTCAAAGGGTGTCCTGCCCTGCTTTCCCTGTCCCAGACAAGGTTACTGAGACACAGTGACCTCTGTACAGCACCCCGGGAGGGTCACAAAACAACGGAATGGTGACTAATAAACACATTCAGAAGGGGAGTGAATAAAAGGCATAGATTGCTTTTACTCTGCAAAACAAACCAACGTGGGAGGAGGAGGGATGTGGCGCTTTCCATAGTACATTGGGTGTCAGGGCTCCTGGCTTCCAGTCCTAGCTCTGCCACTGACTGTGTGACTGATCAAGCTACTTCACCTGTCCATGCCTCTGCAAAATGGGGATAATGCAGACCCACCTCACAGGCCTTGTGCGGCTTAATGCTTGTGGGGATGTGATATCCTTGGGTAAAAGGCGGTAGAGAAGGATTAAATATTATTTAAAAACTTCTGATTTCAATTCTGGGGACAGCCTTGTCTTTGCTAAGGTGGAGGTAAAGTCATGAGACTGTCAAGAGTCTGCAAGGCAGTAGAGTATTTGTTGATTTATAGTGAATTACTTTATACAAAAGCTCTGGGGCGGGGGGTGTTTTGGCCCCTTTACTTCTCAGTGCATGGAGAGCAGCAGCAGGTGCCCCTGCCATATTGCGGGGGAGGTGCAGCAAGCAGACAGTCCGTGAAGAGACCAGGAGGCTGCTGGAGCCATCAGGGGTCCTGGAGCTGCTGCTCCTTGGTTGGGGCGCGTAACACATCTCAACACAGCAGTGCCCCATCTCCAGGGTGGGAAGGGACCTCAGGCTCCCTGCTTGCTATGGGGTTTAATAAAGTGCTTGAAGGGAAATGTCCCTTGGGGAACATCTGGCGAGAGGAGACGTGGTCAGGACCGTGACGCTTCACACCTCACATCTAGCCTTTGTTCAGCAGGGTCCAGAGCTCCGGAGGGCCTGGGATTTCTGTTCCTGTGACAGCATGAACGTGCAGCGCAATGGCATTTTATCGTAATCTGCTTAAAGGGTTCCTGCAACAAAGCTTGTTCTGCTGAATACTTGGCAGCTCTTCCGTTGGAGCGGAGGGGGGCAGAGGGTTGGTAGAGAGATTTATGTACTTTGTTCAAACTCCGCTCTCTTTCTCTTGTCCCTCCTGTCCCCTTACAGGACCCTGAAAGGGAAGCTGGCCAAACAGTACCCAGAAGCGTTCAGCAGTGAGTGTCTCCTTGTTATTCAATCTGACTTGCAGCCTTTATATTGGCTTCCTTCCACTCTGATAAATCAGTACTTCTTGGTAATAAAGCACTGGTCGCTCTAGAGTCCCAGGGCATCCGAAGCTAAAGAGAAATGTGTGTTTGGGCCAGGGGCTGGCAGCTTGCAGTGGGGAGTCTCAAGAGAGATTTTTTTTTTAAACACCTCTGTGTTACCCAGGAAAGGTGGCTGCGTGTGGGTACAAAGCTGCAAATGGCGGCCAAGTTGAGTGCACATCACAGCAAAAGAGCTGGCAGGTTTTTTGTTACTACAGTAATGAGCAGCCAAAGTTTTTTGAAATAGAAATTGTAAGTTCTAGTTGTAACAATGCGGTTCTGGCGGGACCCAACTGAGAGTGCCAATTCAGGACAAATTGCTTAAAACAGGGCAGTTACGGCCCTAGACTGGGGTTTTTCCACCTCTAAGGCAAACCAAACCAACCAGACAAAGAGGACTTTGGTCTCACCCCACTGACTAACCACAAGTCACACAAGCAATGCCCTTAGACACTCCAGTTTCCCAGTATCACCACCAGTGCCACTTGTTATGGGGACAAATGGTTATGAAAACCAATACCCCAGTAAAAGAAAAAAGGTTCTCCTGATCCCAAAGGATCAAGCCCCAGACCCAGGTCAATATACAAATCAGAACTTACCCACAAATCACGCTATCGCCAATCCTTTAGAATCTAAAATCTAAAGGTTTATTCATAAAAGGAAAAAGATATAGATGAGAGCTAGAATTGGTTAAATGGAATCAATTACATACAGTAATGGCAAAGTTCTTGGTTCAGGTTGTAGCAGTGATGAAATAAACTGCAGGATCAAAATCAAGTCTCTGGAACATCCCCAGCTGGGATGGGTCATCAATCCTTTGTGTAGAGCTTCCATTCGTAGCAAAGTCCCTCCAGAGGTAAGAAGCGGGATTGAAGACAAGATGGAGGAGAGGCATCAGCCATTTGTAGTCTTTTCCAGGTGTAAGAACACCTCTTTGTCCTTACTGTGGAAAAATGGAGTCTGGAGTCACATGGGCCAGTCCCTGCATACTTTGCTGAGTTGCAAGGCGTATTTGCCTTCTCTCAATGGGTCAATTGTATAGCTGATGGTCCTTAATGGGCCATCAAGCAGGCTAGGCAGAGCTAACACCAACTTGCTGGGATGTTTCCCAGAAGCATAGCATAAGCATAGAGCTAATATTCATAACTTCAACTACAAAATGGATACACACATATAGACAGCATAATCATAACCAGCAAACCATAACCTTGTCTTAGACACCTCATTTGACCCCCTTTATACAAGATTTGGTGCCACTACAGGACTTTGGTTGCAACCATGTTCTATATGGTCCCAGATTACATCAATAACGTCACACTAGCACTCTTGAGTCCTTCCTGAATCCATTTCGGTGGTGTTTGAGGATTCCTTCTGCACTCATCTGTTTCCTCTTGCTGATACCTGTACCATGTCTTCTTTACTCTGGGTAGTTGGAGCAGCTTATGTGGCAAAGATACCTGGAGTCCTGTCGTCTTTATGCAGATAGAATAAACAGTTGAGGTAACAATTGTCTCTCTCCTTTCAGATATTCATGAATCTCCAATTCTAGAAGACGACGATGATTTTGACCCTATTCCAAAAAGCACGGCGACCACCATTGCTACCTCTGAGCAGAGCACCGAGTCTTGTGACACAAGCCCTGACATTATTTCTCCAACCATGAGTCAGGATTTTGAGGATTTATCACAAGGCCGGTATGATTCTCCAGCTGTTAATGGACAGAGTCTAACAGATGATGAAATGGCCAATGAGCTGGACTAACACCTACTAAAAACTAAGGCATCAGCTGAATCAGCTGCGTGGACTACGGAGCGCAACCAGAGAACTTCCTGTCCTGTATTTATAGTTCGGTGTTTCCTTGGCCGTTCACTCTTTTGTGGGGAGAGGGAAAGTGAAGGCTGAGTGGAGAGGGGCCCATCACATGGTATTTAAAACTGCCATCATAATGCAAACATCAAGTCTGGATATGGCAAACATGCAAAATGTATGGATTGAAATGATTGTTGTCTGTTCTTGTTTGTGTGCCCAGGGGAGAGCAGTAAACCCGAAGTTCAGCTTGGATCATTAGTTTCTGGACAAACCGAGATCTTCTCAGAAGAGAACTCTAACTGCTTTTCTTTATCCTTTTCTTAAATCATTTACTTTGGTTTACACAGAAATCTTGAGGCTCTGTCATTCACAGTGCATGCAAACCCAAACTATAGCCTCCTCGCCGGCATGGTACAAATATCTCTCAGCTGTGGCTTGCCGGAGCTTGTACTTGCCAAGCAACAGCAGCTTGCTTTTGGGGGGTCTTCTCTGCCTTCTGAGAGTCCTGCCTGCACTACAGGGCCCTGTCGCTAATTAATATAAACTAATGATTTCTCTAACACCTACAGAACGTCTTTTCCCACACAGTGGCAAGAACCCGAAGTCCTCTTTCCTTAAGTGCTCAGCTGTTCTGTGCCGCAGCTTGGATTTTCATGAGGGAATCTTTCATAACTGCACTTCCATTGCTTAATGGAGATCTTTGAATGGAACAGTTTGACAACTGCTATGGCTGTACCTTGCTCTCTATAGTGTTCATCATATGTTAAATTATCAGATAGTTTCTTTGGGTAAAACCTTTCATTTTTTCAAACAGTGATAAAGAAAGACGCTGTACTGAAATGTCTGCTTCTTGTCTGTTTTCACCTGACTTTGCCAATGTCTGTGTTAATGTATTGCTGAGAGCCAGGGTGGAAATAACTAACCCTGTTGTAAACCTAGGAGGGAGGGGAAAGTTGCCCTCTAATGCTCAGTGGTTGTGATCAGCATATCTCCAGAAAGAATAGAGTGAAAAGAAAATATTTTTGTATTACATGTTTACAAATGCTAGAAGAAAATAACCACTAGAGACTCCATTAATAAAACATCCATCCAAACCACTTCATGTTCCTTCTTTACTAGGTGGAATTTGTGCATGTACGCTGTAACTTCCGGTCATTCGAGGTGAAGTTTGATTTCTCTGATAGGCTAAAAGAATTATAGCCACTATAGCTCTCACATAAGGGACATAGGAGTGGTCCTAATTCTAGAGATGCGATCACTACACCATGATTAAGAGTGTGAATTAAATGAAAATAGGAGCAAAATCGGTGAGCTTTGCTGCACAAAGCAAAGGCTAGATTTTGAGAGCAACTGAGGGGAGCGGGTCAGTGCTTTATGAATCGGCCTTTGCTCCCAATTCAAAATATTTTAACAGCAGTGGCCAGTAGCACCACTACATTAGCTGTAGCATAGCGGTATAAATTGCTTAGGAAATAAGGATCCTGCACAAGGCTCACAACCTCAGCCCTGGATTTTATACCCAGATACAGAAAAGTGGCCATGTTGGTGGAAACTGTCACTTCACCAGAGGAATTGGGGTAGCACTTTAAACTAAAGCGTCTTTGTTTTTAAAGTGAATTAGTCTACATAGATTGAGAAAGCATGCATTCATGCCTGTAGAGATGGGGCCTGGATGGGGCGTGTGAACAATGTATACTGAGAAAGTTACTTCCAGAAGTTAGCAGAACTGATCAAAGGCTTTTCCTTAAATGAGAAAGGAAAGTTGTTTAATGCTGGGAGAAAGAAGCTGTGCAGACCTGCCACCCCCTCAGGAATGAGTAACACTGACAAATGGATGTGGGACAAAATCCCAACCTGCTGTGAATTCTGCCCTGGACAAATGCTTGGTGTGTTGGGTGGGGAGATTTAATCCCCAAACACTGCGAAACTGTTTCCTGGGTCGGTGTGTCACGCCCATGTGAGTGTGTAGCATGGGGGTATCACACAGAATCCTAGAACTGGAAGGGACCTCAAGAGGTCATCTAGTCCAGTCCCCTGCACTCATGCTAGAATTAAGTATTACCTAGACCATCTCTGACAGGTGTTTGTCTAACCTGCTCTTATAAATCCCCAATGATGGACATTCCATGACCTCCCTAGGCAATTTATTCCAGTGCTTAACCACTCTGCCAGTTACAAAGTTTTTCCTAATGTCCAACCTAAACCTCCCTTGCTGCAATTTAAGCCCATTGCTTCTTGTCCTGTCCTCAGAGGTTAAGAAAAACAATTTTTCTTCCTCTTCCATGTAACAATCTTTTACATACTTGAAAACTATTATCATGTCCCCTCTCAGGCTTCTCTTCTCCAGACTAAACAAACCCAGTTTTTTCTATCTTCCCTCACAGGTCATGTTTTCTAGACCGTTAATTATTTTTGTTGCTCTTCTCTAGACTCTCCAATTTGTCCACAGCCTTCCTGAAATGTAGCACCCAGAACTGGACACAATACTCCAGTTGAGGCCTAATCAGTGTGAAGTAGAGCAAAAGAATTATTTCTCATGTCTTGCTTACAACACTCCTGCTAATATATTCCAGAATTATGTTTGCTTTTTTTGCAACAGTGTTACACTGTTGACTCATATTTAGCTTGTGATCCACTATGACCCCCAGATCCCTTTTCACAGTACTCCTTCCTAGGCCATCATTTCCCATTTTCTATGTGTGCAATTGATAGTTCTTTCCTAAGGGGAGTACTTTGCATTTGTCCTTATTGAATTTCATCCTATTTACTTCAGACCATTTCTCCAGTTTGTCAGGATTATAATTCAAAATGATCCCATCCTCCAAAGCACTTGCAACCCCTCCCAGCTTGGTGTCGTCCGCAAACTGTGTAAGTGTACTCTCTCTCTCATCTATATCATTGATGAAGATATTGAACAGAACTGAGCCCTGCGGGACCCCACTCGTTATGCCCTTCCAGCATGATTGTGATCCACTGATAACTATTTTCTGGGAACGTTTTCCAATCCGTTTTGCACCCCCCTTAGTATTTCCCTAGTTTGTTTATGATCAGGTCATGCGAGACAGTATCAAAAGCTTTATTAAAGTCACGATAGACCACCTCTACCGCTTCCCCCCACCCATCCACAAGGCTTGTTACCCTGTTAAAAAAATCTCTCCGGTTGGTTGGACACGCTTTGGTCTTGACAACTCCAGGCTGACTGTTATCTATCACCCTATGCTCTGCTCGGGGGTTGCAAACCGGTTGCTTCATGATTTGCTCCATTGTCTGGCGGGTGCAGAAGTGACGCCGCCTGGGCTGGGATTGCACTAGACTGTCAGTGGGCGGGACTCTCCCGTCCGCCAGCCCCTGGCGCGTGCTGGGGCAGGGTGCGAGGGGCAGTGTGCGAGGGGCGTGCCCTCAGGGGTGGGGGTGTGGCTTGCACACGCGTGTGCGCACACCTAGACGTGCCTGACCCCTCCTAGCT